CTGCTCCCCTGTTTTCCATGTCAGGAGGTCCCGGGGTGGTGGTGGTGCTGGGGGGGAAGGGGTATGTGTACCTGTCTGGCAGAGGTCTCCCCTCCAGCCCGTGGAACATTTGCACTTGTTGTATCCGATACACGTTCCTCCATTGTTGTCACAATCCCATTTCTCACTCTGTCATAACTAACATGGACATCCGGAAGAGACCAGATAAAGCATGTAATGAGATCTGCGGCTGGACGCCCAGCCACACAGCTGGAGTCATGATTAAAGAGGACCTGTCCAAGAATACATCTTTTAAATACATTTGTCATAAAAAAATATGAAAACAGCTTTGTTTGTATGGAACATCTGGATTTCATTCATCCTCTAGATGGAACAGATTACAAATAGAACATAGCTTAAAGCCAAAGTGAACTTTCAGTTTAATTACATTTAATGTGCATCAAAGTAAAAGGAGTGCAAAGTCTTACTGTTTATTTTCTTTAGAAAGCAGCCACAGCTGCGGTGTAAAAATACCTGTCTCCTGCCAGCATGCAGAGAAGAACTCTTGCTATCTCTGGGTGGAAACAGTGGTCTCTCTGCAAAGGTCCAACACTCCCCCTGCTGAGGCAGATCTAGAACTCTCCAATCAGCAAAGCCCATGCTCCGCTGGCTGGAGAGCTCTCTCTGTGACTTGTCAGGGGCCTGTCAGACCTCTGCAAAGAGACCAAAAAGTGGTCTCTTTTCTACAGAAAATAAACGGTAAGACTTTGCACACCTTTTGATTTGATGCTCCTGGAAAGTATTCAGTTGAGTGAAAGTTCACTTGTACTTTAATTTATTACATGGAAAGAGTTTTATGATAGAAGTCAGCCGATTAATAATGACTCATGACACATGTTTGGCATGTGCCTCTGTTTTGACTCTTTGGGAACTCTACACTGTTATTGTTTTCTTTACGTTTGTTTATGTTCCTCTGGTTATACGGTTTATGGAACAACAATCATGTGAAGTATTTGCTACTTGTTGCCAGTTTATTATTCTTCGACATTTGGATATTTGTAGAGCTGCCCTGGAATCTGCAGATTTAGGCACTATGAATTCAGGGGGATTTTTTATGCAGATGGCTGCTCTTATAAACACTCCTTTTTGTTTCTTGCTTATAGACATATTAACCTTCAGCTGAGAGTGTTGGTGAATCTTTTTACTTCTTGTAGGTGAATGTACATTGTAAGAAGAGATTAATCCTGTAGGCAAGGATTGGATGTGGCAGGTTTCTGTCTCTTCACTTCCTGTGTTGGTGACTCTCTGTGTGTCAGGTTCCTGCATGGTGTCACCAGGACAGGAAGTGACAAAGGGTCTTTCCCTTACTTTATTCAGAAGTAATAAAAAATGTTGGCCGGAGTTGGGTTTAATTGCAGCCTGGAGGAGCCCATGTAATCTCACCTGTAAGCCTCCATTCACACTTGAGGGCAGGCATTTTCAGGCCATTCTGAAGTTCTTTATGCACATTTTTCAGGCTTGAGCATTTTTCTTTTAGCTCATGGAATGCTAATTACTTATAGGAGGTGATTGTTGGTAGGTGCAAAATTGTGCATTAATTGCACATTATGCATCAGAAATGCTCATGTACTTTTTTTGAGCTACAAGCAACAAGTGACACATCACCCAGGTGTGAATGGGGAGCTTAGAGATCTGTAGTCTGTATGGAATATTCATATCTCGTTTTATGTCCAGGGACAGTGAATTATTTGATGGGTATCTGTGAACGTTGGCCTCTCTTTGTTCTTGTTTCAGTGGGAGATGCGGAATGGTCACCTGTGATAAAACATGACAACAGCGGGGAAAGCAGTGACCGCCACCTCTGCCCCAGGCTAATCCTTGTGGGAATCCCCGAGGTCTGTCCGCACCTCATCCCAGAGTTCCTGAGGGAAGGGAGAGAATTTTCTGCTCTATAATCAGCCACTTGTGTCTGCAGAACATCAAAGCTTTCCACAGCTGAGACCCTTTAAAAATACATGTATCCACTTCCGCACGTCTGCCTGTAATTGTGTGTGGCGAGGGGAAGGGGAAAGAGGAGGACCATTTTTTACATGTACTATTTGTGTTTAATATTTAAAGGATCAGTCCACCCAAAGCCATCCAGTGACTGAATCCCCCACTCTTTACTTGTTGTTAAAATATCATTTTTAGGTGGATTGCTCCTTTAAAAAGCCAGTGGACCTAATTATCTGAACTCTGCATCCCACTGCTCAGTCAATTTGGGTCAAAAGTCCAAGTACTTTAATGTACAAATAATGAGGCTATTGTTAAGAAGCTAACTATGTCTCTGTTAGGGAGATTTTTCTTTTCCTGTCTTATTGATACTATGGGCTTCATGTAAAGAAGTTCTGCCCGGCTAATGCCGCTTACATGGCACAAGTGTTCCTAGAGTATAATAGGAATTATTAGTGCTCGAGTAGAGTATAATAGGAATTATAGTCATCGGGACCATGTAGGGGAGTTATTGCCGTGCAAACACCAGGCGGGACTTTTATACAACCTGGAGTGTCATTCAATAGAATCACTGGACAGGAAGTCAACAGTGTGCAGGAAAATGTCTCCTCCCAAAAGTAGAACTTTATTTTAGTGATCTTCTGTCCATATACAGTAAGCAGAAGAGTTATGAGCTGTCTGCTCTATAAATATTATATCATATAGGCATAGTGGTCATTGCAGACAGGCTGCCCTTGGTGTAATACCTTTATTACACCCCGGCATGTGGCTGTCCATCCGTTTCCAACCCGGGCAGCACGTGTACAGCGGAAGAGGCGTCTTCTTCATCACTTGTCTGTATGCAATCTTGTACGTAGTCCTGATAGAAACATGTAAAACAGAATTGACCGTCAGACTGCAGGTTGTGGCTCCACTATGATGCCAATAAAGGTCATGTCTTCAGGCTTTGTAGCACCCTGCTGTCTGCAATATTTGTTCTCCCTGAACATGCTGCTGGTGGTGAGTGTGAATTTTAAGGGTTTTTCTGCCTCAGCCAGAAATTATATTTCAGCGTTTAGTGAATTTTGAAGAGTTAGGCCTTCTTTGTCTTGGGAACCTATTGGCGCTTGGGACCCTATTGGTGAGATCTCCATATGAGTTCCCAGGTCTTCACACTGCTGTGGCCATTATGAGGAGCTTCCACCTACCCTGCTCTGAGTTCCCAGGTCTAAACACTGCGGTGGCCATCATGAGGAGCTCCCACTATCCCTGCTCCGAGTTCCCAGATCTCCACACTGCTGTGGTCATTACGAGGGGCTTCCACCTACCGTACTCTGAGTTCCTGGGTCTACACTCTGCTGTGGCCATTATGAGGAGCTCCCACTATTCCTGCTCCGAGTTCCCAGATCTCCACACTGCTGTGGCCATTATGAGGGGCTTCCACCTACCGTACTCTGAGTTCCTGGGTCTACACTCTGCTGTGGCCATTATGAGGAGCTCCCACTATCCCTGCTCCGAGTTCCCAGATCTCCACACTGCTTTTTCCATTATGAGGAGCTTCCAACTACCCTGCTCTGAGTGCCCGGGTCTGCACACTGATGTGGCTATTATCAGAGGCTCCCATGATCCCTGCTAAATCTATTGACCAAGACATTGCCCAAGAACCAGTACATGACTCAGGGAATGGCAGCTTCCAATAACTGGAGGGGGATATGAAGAATCAGGGCATTCAGGGAGCTAACATGTAAAGTGATGCTGCTATAAAGGCAGCACATTAGCCCGTGCCTGGCAGAGCCTGCTGGGAATTGTTCCTCCACAACAGCGGAGGCTACAGGTTTCCACCTTGATAAAAATATCCTTACCTGTAGGTGCTGCAGACACGATGCCCCTCGCAGAGTGTGATCAGTGGATGGTAAACAGGCTGGACGAAAGATTGCGTCACAGACATGACTCCCGCCTGAGCGCCGGATGAGCATACTCTGCGCCTGAAACATAAGAAAGAGAGAGAAAGGTAATAATTATCAGCTCATCCACTAATTATATAATAATATATGGATGAAAATATGTCTCCTTCCTCCTTAATGTTCCCAACTGTACCATAAGGCAGATAATGCAATTGACGAAGTTTCACATTTGTCCAAATTTTGATCATCTTATATTGGCTAATGGGGACACCTGTGCCAGTGACAACTTTTACTTTTTAGAGATTTCCACTCACTTTATGTTGTGTCACAATGAAGGGAAATATTTGGTGGACTTGCATCGCCTATGTAACACACACGAAAAGTGACCTTCACAGAAAAATGTGTGCCCCAGTTGGCATCTGATGAGTGATGGTCACAGTGGGAGTAGGAAGGACCCTGCAGCATTAAAACATATGTCGTCTTTTCTGATTTCACAGATATTTAGGGGGAGAGTTGCTGTTGGTCCCCTTGGGGGCTGAACTGCCAATCTTCTTATGTACACAAGTTTTTCCAGGTGTCGATTCACTACAACACCCCTTTCTGGGCAGGAAGTGATGGAAAATCTCTCCAATGTGGTCCCAGACAAAAAATACATTTTCAGTAAAGTGTGGACAAGTGCTGTCTGTGTCCTCCTGTCCCGGTGACAACTACTCCTCCATTTTTCATACTGGTGTCACTGAGATGGGAAGTGAAGAAAAATCGCTCCAATATGGTGAGATAAAGAAATAAAAACTTGATACATATTCTTCACTCTTCCTGACTAAATCCAAAACTAAACAAAGACTCTCTGGAGTGAGACTTTACCGTCGGCCAGGCAAAATCGCGGTTCATTACATCTCTGTGCGCAGAGAGATAAATCTCCTGGGTTACTTTAAAGAAAAGGAATAAAACCTGATTTTGGTTTTCAGCAAAAGTCTTTAGTACAATTTCAATTACCCTTTTGCTAATACGCTGCGATAGTCAATTAGCGATAACACAGGAACAATGCGTCAGCAGAAATTGCCTTTATACGCCGCAGGTTTGACTTGGGCGCACTGATTAGCCAGCAGGAGAGCGGCTCTTCCCCGTAATTAAATTGTTCTTTTCTCTAAATGTTATTTCTCAAGAAAATCAACGTGCGTTCCGGAAAAAAAAACTCCCATCGAGCATTCTTTGTATAAAAGCAACCAGAGGACCCCATTATTTCCAGGGAGATGTCCATCATTTCTGGGAGCACAGCAGATTTTATGGTGCTCTATACCACTTGCAGGAAACACGGAGGAATGAGAAGTTTTGTCATTTCTTTTTATTGTGCAACATAGTAATAAGTACATAAGTGCATTATTAACGCTGGACTCCAGGATGAAAAATAATACCCTTGCAGCAGCTCCCTCCACACTGCAAGGGTTAAATGCTTATTTTTGCCTAGAGGTAGAAATATAAGGAGTAAAGCGTACCATACACTGCGTGCCCAACAAAGAAAATATCACAGATTCCTCCATCAACGCTGAGGAATCTCCCGCTGTCAGAATATCCAAAAAGAGACGGCAGCTGATTGGCTGCCTGCTCTGTTCGTTCAAAGACTTGCAGCTGACTATCGAGAACTGTTCAAAATTCGCATAGCGTATGGCCAGCTTTATACTTACCTTGCTCCCCGCTGGGACAGGCTCCCTCCATGTGTGGAGCGGTCCCCTGAAGCCTCCACTCTAAGGTGCTCCCAGCTGCGCTTACACCCCTACCTCCTCCACATACAATGCAGGGCTAATAGCCCTGCATTGGACATGGTGATGCTGAGGGACCACCCAGAGCATCAGAGAGAAGAGCACCGGAGCCTGCTAGAGTGGGGGTTAAAGT